AGTGGATATACCTGATAGCTTTAAGCCTCAGCTCCACTTCATGAGTGAATTACCTTACAAATCACATGAGCTAATTGTGCCTTGGCTTCCTCCGAGGTTAAGATGTAGGGATATTAAAGGAAGCTTGAGGTGGGCACACACATGGAAAGAGGAAAGGCCCAGGCGTGTACGTTCATAAAAAGCCTAGCATGTGATTGCAACACGACAGGAGCTAAGAACCTTGTTATGCAGAAAATTAACAGCATTTTGTGATTTTGGGGTGCTGACCACATATGAATACCCTGTACTAATGAAAAGTGTTTCCCACGAGCTTCTCCCATGTCTGCAACGGTCCTGTCTCTTTGCCTTTCAGAGGATGGGAGGAGCGGTGGTGCTCCATGTTGCCTTTGCTTAGACAAAGAACAGGTAGCCCTGAGTATCAAGGAAGGAACGGCCCCCTTCAAGCATGAAGGCTTTGGTGGTTCTGTGAAATCTGAAACAAACCACAGACCCAGGAGAAGCCACAAAGTCCGAACAGGACCCAAACCGAGTCACACGCACCTCCACAGACCACAGGCCGAGAACAACGTCTGAGCGGGTAGAGGACAGAGCGAGCACCTGCACAGGTGTCAGACCCATCGCTGGCCTTCAGCTGAAAACAAGAACGTCATATAACAAGAAAACCACATCTTTAAAAAGGAACAACGGAAGTTCTCAGACCAGAATTCAACAGAGTAGTGAAATAAGACATTGTCAGACCAACGACTGAGACAGCGTCAGCATCAGACTTTGTACTTCAATGTTAAATGGCATTGTTTGTTGCAAAGAATGATGAAAGTTCATTGATAGCAAGAATTCTTTTTGTGTCTGTGCATCATGAACTCAGTTGTGCCGTCCCCCACTCCATTCATATATTAAAGCCCTAAACCCCAACATGACTGTGTGTTAGGAAGTAGGGCCTGTAAAGAGGTTTTTAAAGTAAAATGAACTCACGAGGGTGGGCCCTGATCCAACTGGACTGGTGTCCTCACAGGACAAGATTAGGACACACACAGAGGGACGACTCCATAAGGACACAGGGAGAATATGGTGTCTACACACCAAGGAGAGAGGCCTCAGGAGGGACCAGCCTGAGACACCTGATCTCGGACTTCCAGCCCCCAGCATGTGAGGGAATAAATGCCCCTTGTTCAAGCCACCCAGTTCGTGACATAAATGGAATGACTATTTTACCCATAAGTACAGTGCTGACTCTTGCTTTATGAAGAGATAGGTGTTCTTTATTATCTTAAAGATCTCTTCTTAATGTGTTTTGAATTCAGACGCAGTGCATGCTAATTCTTCCATGAAGTGAATTTTGAAAACAAGCCTTGTAAGTGACTTTGTCACTTAGACAGGCTGTGAAATAAGCACGATGTGTGTATTACTGGCCTCTTCCCAAGGCTTCACCCTCTCTCACAAGGATCAGAGAACATGAGGATTCATAAATAGGTTTTTAAATAAATTTTTTCTCCTAGAGAAATACATTATTAACTTTGGGGTAAATATTTAGAAATAGTTTAATGAAAAAAAAAATTCACTCCATATGCCATGTCACTGAAATCCAGGTAGAACTTGAAAAGTACTAGCATATGCAATCAGAAAAAAGCAATGTGTTTATATGAAGGTGATATTTCTAAGTTTCAAAGCAACTTCCGACAAGCCCCTGCCAAACTCTTGGGAACCCAGGAAGGAGAGGCCATTACTTAATCCTCTGAGAACAGCTGGGGTCAAAGGGTACACAGAGAAAGCTAGCTAATTCAAGCAGCAATGAAATCGGACCAGGCAGCATGATGATATCACTGCAGACACGATATCCTGTAGACAAGATGCTAACCATGGTGCTGTAGAGAGATCTGCAAACCAATTTAAACATTCTGTGACTCTGAGGGTTAACAAGATGAACACCGTCAGTTATGTTCTTATTTAGTTTTGCATGTCTACGACGCTTGGCAATGCAATAGGCAAACTGTATTTCTTGTTAATTAAATCTAGATAACAGGTTTTTTGTTTTTTTTTTTTTCTCATGCAAGCAGTTTAAACTCACGGAAATACCCTGTGGCTAATGAAGGAGAAAAGAACCCACCCCACCCCACCCTTGTGCTCTGTGTGTCAGACATTATCTATTCAAGGGATTCACTGAAAAGTCAAAAATTTTGAGACGTCTTGAAGATATGCTTTCAGAGACAACGCATGCTCTTTAATTTGCAAGTATCTTTACCAATATCCTTTATAAACCAAGTATCTTCAAGTAAGAAAAGCACTAGAGAATAATGCAGACATTCTTTTTTTAAACTTCATTTTATTTATTTATTTATTCAATACAGAGTCTCACTCCCCCTGGATAGAGTCTTTTGGTGTCAGAGCTCATAGAAACCTCAAACTCTCAAGCTTAAGTGATCCTCTCCTGAGTAGCTGGGAGTAGAGGCACCTGCCACAACTGGTTAGTTGGTTTTTTTTTCTTCCCTCCTATTTTTAGTACAGATGAGGTCTCACTCTTGCTCAGGCTGATCTCAAACTCCTGAGCTCAGGAAATTCACATGCCTCACCCTCCCAAAGTGCTAAGATTATGGGCGTGAGCCACAATGCGCAGCTAAGAATACTACTGACTTTCAAACAGTAATAGTCCCTTGGTCCTTGACACTACACTGCTTTCTCTATGCAGAAGATAATTTTAGAGACTGATTTTGCAGGACTCAGGTAAGAGGGCCTCACATGAGATCAAGGAGCTTCCAACTACCCTTGTGGAGTCCGGTGTGGACTGTGGGCAATGCTCCGTGGAGGAGTTAATCCAGATAGGCGAAAACTCACTACTTTTCATTATAAAACCGGTGATAACTGCAAATTGTTAAGGTTTAGAAAAACACGTGGCATTTTGCACGAAACAAACAGGATGTGCAGTCTGTAGGCGCTGACGTTGCAGAGAAGCTGCACTCCTCTCCTCCAGGAAGGGATCCTGCCGAGGATGTGCCGAGGCACATCTTCCATAGAATGTCCAAACTTCACCCAGGACGGTGAGGTGGGAAGCAGCTCTACTAAGTTCTTAGACGGGCTGTGCACGCCTCAGCGGGTGGGATTAAGGAGACACTAATGTTCCACGATCTAGACGCTCTCCTTCACCACAGAGGCTCTGTGGTGCCCATGACACGTACCTGCCATGGAGGGGACCACTATACAGATTCTGCTAATCACTGTGTGTCCCTCATAGGACACAGGTTAAATGGGCAGAGAAAGCATCGGGGTGCTCCTTAAAGTCTGTGGGCCCATGTCATGGCGCTGTACACATCCACCATCATCACTCTCTAAAATCTGAGTTGTGCAGGGCGGTGACAGCACTGCACTGTGTGAAGGTCACTGGCAACTGTGGGAGAGTAAAAAAGACTGTGCGTGCTCCACCCGAGCATCAGTATTTTTCATCTGTACAAAGATAGAAGAGTTTGGCTGCAGCCTCTGTTAAAACAACCATAACATACTTGAGGTCTAGTTATGCTGCAGGGAAACTTACCTTGATGTCATTTAGACGTGGACCAAACTTCTTTGTCCTGTCCAGCAAAATGACTTACTGTCTGGAACACTGACGTAAATTTGTGGAAGGACAAGACACACACCAATCAAACTGGCGACCTTTCCCCAAGAGGCTTTATTACTGAATGTAAGGCCACCATGATTCACATAAACAAGGACATACCTTTTACAGCTTGAGTCCCCTCTAGGTCAACAGGAAAAGCCAGTTAGTCACATTTAGGTCATACATTGGTTAGGGGATTTTTCAGGAAAAGGTAAAATCATGACTGTCATCCAAATATGAAAAACATGTCAAAAGATTTTATTAAACTTAATCAACTGGTGAGGGCAACAGTAAGATGTTACAACTGGTGTGGAGAGAAGTCACAGGCAGACCCACAGACAGGTTGTCGGGAATGCTGATGGGAGTGTGCTGATGGAGGGGAGGCCCACCCCACAGGCTGTCAGGAATGCTGATACGAGTGTGCTGATGGAGGGGAGGCCCACCCCACAGGGTGTCAGGAATGCTGATACGAGTGTACCATCAAGGGGAAGCCCACCCCACAGGGTGTCAGGAATGCTGATATGAGTGTACTGATCAAGGGGACGCCCACCCCACAGGCTGTCAGGAATGCTGATATGAGTGTACCATCAAGGGGAAGCCCA